TTTACCATGAATTGTACATTCAAGACAGTCAATAACCACAGCACCATGTATGTGCGATGGTACAACTATGGGACTGAGGGACTAAAGAAAGAGTTGGTGAATGAGAGCGATGTGCTCACAACCCTGCATTTGGACAATGGGTTTGCCTCTCTCACTTTGAAGAATGCGAATTCATCTGATACAGGAACCTATGTGTGTGAGGTGGGGATCACAGCAAGGAACCTCTCTGGGAATGGAACAGGAACCCAAGTGACCATCGAGAGTAAGTGTCAGAATTTCCTACCTGATCTTCTTGGGGAAATGGAGGCGAGCTAGTGAGAACAAGAGTGCACATCTCCTGGAAGGTGTCGAGTGTCTTCAGTTCCACCTTCAATGGGAGCTGAGGGTGCTCCACGCCTGCCCAGAAGCACTAAACTCCTTGCAAGATAGAGCCCTGTAGGACGGTATAAGGGGGAACAATGTTTCCATTTTAGTTCCTTTACAGCCAAATGTTTCATGTGGCCTCATATTAGTCTCTAAACATATGCTTGCCTATGTTGCAATGTAGACCTATTGATACATTCAAAGCCTGCCTGCGTTTCTGGAAGCTGTGAGAGGTAACAGGGTAGGTAGACATGAATTCATGTCTGATTTGTGGATAGGTGAAACCTGGGGCTGCTTCTTATGTCAGATCCGGTTCACATAAGGATCCATATTGCAGAAAGCAACTTCTCCAGAGTGAGCATTCGGGGCGGGGGGGGGGGGGGAATGGTTTGCTGGTCTTGCCAGTCATCGTAAAGCTATGAATAGAACTAAGTGAAAGCATTACTTTAACCTCTGCTAAGCAGGGGATGGTAAATGGCCAGGCTGGGAAAAGAACACCAAATACTGGAGGGGGGAGACATTTATTTTAATACATTCCCAGTCACCAGCCATTGCCCCTGAAATTCTCCTGCATCAAGGTGCAACCGTCCGTTTCTCTCCTGCAGAATTTCCCAAGCTGATGGTGAATCAGACCCCAGTCAATATCCATGCGTCAGAAGGGTCAGATCTCACCGTGGAGTGTAGATTCACGGTATGGAATAAACACAAGACCTTGTATGTGAAATGGTATAAACATAGCGGAACTGGGGGAACGAAGAAGGAGCTGGTGAGTGAAAGAGGCGGGGGGCCAGCAGCCCTGGCTTTGGAAAAGGGTTTTGCTTCGTTCACTCTGAAGAACGTGAATATAACCAATACAGGAACCTACGTGTGTGAGGTGGGGAGCACAGCGAGGAACTGGTCTGCATCAGGAGCCGGAACCCAAGTGACCATCACTCGTACGTACCAGTATTTTCCTATCTGATCTTCATGGTGAGAGAGAGTGAATGGCAGCCTAAAGAACAGAGAATGAACGACTGTTGCTAGCAAAAGTGGGTATGAATTTTCAGGTGTGTACAGTATATAACCCATTAAAAATATGGGCTCCAGCCTGTAAAGAACTGAAGGTAACATAGTTCAAAGTACCTAAGTGATTTATGAGCCTCCAATTTTCAGAGGGGACTTAGCCAGTCAGGGCCAGATTTTTAAAGGAATTTACGCACCGAAAGTTGTAGTTTGGATTTTCAAAAGCACCTCAGCATCTAACTCCCACTTTTGCCAACAGGACATGGGCTCCTAAGTCACGTAGCTACTTTTGAAAATTTCCCCCAAATGCCCCTGGAGAGGGGTGTTAAGAACCTCCCAGGACTCAGGCCTGTCATAAGAACGTTAAGGAGGGTGATGAACCTAACTCACAACTGCACTGGATGGGATAAGAAGCAGCCCCCAATGTCCATCTGCACCTAGCGCTAAACCAGTTTTATGGCTAAAGAGTTGCTTCTTATTCTGTGAGAACATCTTCATCCATCATCGAACACATCCCTGTATGGAAAGTATGTAGAAAAGCTGGAATGGATCCAGAGGCGAGCGACGAAGATGATCAAAGGGCTGGAATGCAGCCATATGAGCAATGGCTGGTATGTGCAGTTTGGAAAAGAGAAGATTAAGGCGGGGGACATGATAGCGATCTTCAAATCCTTGAATGGCTGCCACAAAAAAGGTGGAGAAAAGTTTCTCTCTTGCCTCAGAGGGCAGGACAAGAGGCAATGGGTTCAAACTACAGCACAGCAGATTTAGATTAAATCTCAGGAAAAACTTCCTAACTGTGAGCATGGAACAGACACCTCGGGAGGTTGTGGAAGCTCCTTCACTGGCAGTTTTCAAAAGGAGGCTGGAGAGGATTGGTCTTGGATGGTTTAGCGGTTGTCAGACTGTGGGACAGGACCCCACCGTGGGTTGCTACCCCATTTTAATGGGGTCGCTAGGGCTGGCTTAGACTTGCTGGGGCCCAGAGCCAAAGCCGAAACCCGAGGGCTTCAGCCCTGGGCAGCGGGGCTCAGGTTCTGGGCCCTCTGCCTGGGGCTGAAGCCCTTGGGCTTTGGCTCCCCCCTATGCCCACACCAGTGGGGCTTGGGCAGGCTCAGGCTTCGGTCCCCCCTCCTGGGGTCATGTAGGAATTTTTGTTGTCAGAAGGGGGTCACGGTGCAATGAAGTTTGAGACCCCCGGTTTAGACACAACAAATCCTGCATTGTGGCAGGCTGGGGAGACTAGCTGACCCTTGCGGTGCCGTCTAACCCTGTGGCTCTAGGATTCTATGCCTTGGTGGCATCTGCACTATGCGGGCATGGCAATACATAGAGAAAGATTCTGCTGTAACTCTCCATGGCCATCCACTGATCTGGTTCTAGCTTTAAAGGATCCTTCCCATCTTCCAAGTGAAAAGGAAGACCTCATCTGAAAACCACACACCCCGGTCACGATAGACCCAACGTTTCTAATGCCGATTGCTGCGTCTGAGTTCACAATTCTCACTACTGGCAATGGGGTGAGCACGTGCGGCTGGGAAAACGGAGCAGTGATACATATTGCGTATATTGTTCTGATGATTTTTGGTGCAAGTGGCAGATTTGCAATTGACACCCTGAGATTGTGAACAGGAGAGTGTAACATGAGCTGCTTTCAAGCACCAACTTCTGGCCAGAGGTCACTTTTCAGCACCTTGCCTGTTTCCCCCTCTTCAAAGCCCATTAACAACTCACTCGGTTTAAAGGTAATTCAAACCATCACCTCCTGCAGTCCAATAAATCAAGTCCCCAGGGGCATATTGGCCCTCTTGGTCCCAGTGCAGCGTTTCACTCCTGATAATCCAAAATGCAGAGTCTTTCAAAAACAGAACACAAACTCACCCAGTCTTCATCCCAGTTTCAGCTGGGCACAGCCCTACCTCCCGAGGGACTGTCTTCCTGCTTCCCAGCACCTCCTACCTGGTGTTTGTCCTCCTCCACAGGCCTTTCCCACTGAGCCTGGGCAGTCTCTCCCCTGCTTGGACAGGGTCTCTCCCAGGCCTCCCCGCCTGGAGAGCTTTCCTCGCTTTCTCCTGCTTCTTGAGCTTCTCCCCTGCTGGCTCAGAACCCTGCAGGAGTCATCTCACTCGCTGCAGTTTCCACACACGTGGCCACAATTTCCTGGGCTTGCCGCCTTCTCAGCAGCTTCCTGCTTCTTTTGTAGTGGAAGCACCTGATTCCTCTCCGGTGGGACTGATCCTGTAATCAGGGTTAGCTTAGCCCAGGCTCTCCAGCCCAGGGGGCAGGCACCCTGTTGCAGATGGGAACAGCAGAGGCAGTGCAGAAAGGCAGTATATGGTAGTGGTTAGAGCTGGAGACTAGGAGTTAGGAAGTTTTCATTTTATTTCTGACCATCACAGACTGCCTGTATGACCTCAGGCAAGTCATTTCATCTCCCTGTGCCTCCAAAAAGGAGATAATATTTCTTCTCCCAGCTTCTGTCTGTCTTGTCTATTTAGACTTTAAACTCCTGGGGCAGGGACTGACTCTCTACGTGTATGTACAGCGCCTAGCACAAGATCAGGGTGTGCCTGGTAAATGCTCTGACGCCCGGCATGCCAGTATTCACCTGTGATAGTTCCAAGTCACAGCTGGAAATGTCAGCATGGGGCAGGTTTAATGCATGAACCGAAATGAGATGATTTGTTTGTACATGCGAATTTGAGGTTGTTTCCAGACACATTAGTCTGAGGACAATTTGTCTGAAACTCTAACACAAGAGAAATGGAGTTGGGTTCTCAATGCGCAGTTCCTTTGTCTCCTCTGTTCTACCGAAGCAGCTGATAGAGTGCACAAACCTCAAAGATCCAAGGACCCGAATCCCATCCCGCACTCCAGGCTCAGTAACTGTCCTCGAGCATCTTTCCAACGTCAACCAGTTTTAATTTCCTCATTGCCATTCTCCCATTCAGCTGATTGACGTGTTTCTGCATCAAGGTGAAGTCACTTGTGTCTCTCTCTCTATGCAGCTGTTGACCTGCTGGTGAATCAGAGCCCTGCCTGTGTCAAGGAAGAGGAAGGAAAAAAGCTGACCATAGAATGTAGATTCAGGGCCCTGGAGAAACCCAGCACCAAGTACTCTGTTAAATGGTATAAAAACGGGACCGATGGAGACGAGAAGGAGCTGAAAAACGAAACGGGCTCAGTCACAACAACTCTAGATTTCTCAACGGGCCTGGCTTCTCTGACCTTGACTAAAGCCAGCGTGAGTGATTCTGGGTTCTACAGATGTGACTTCGGTAAAAATGGCCATGGGAATGGAACCAGAGTGACGATCCAGGGTAAACAGCAGCATTATCTCCTCTGATCTGCATTGTCAGGATAGTACACTGTGGTCACCACTGACTCACACTTCCCACATGGTCACTGAAACCCCACAGCTACTTCCTAGCCTAGGACTGGGAGACGCAGTGTTATCTCAGAGATAGGCAGTGTGTAAATTATGGAGCGTTGTTGTGGCCGTGTGGGGCCCTGGACATTAGAGTGACAAGGTGGGTGAGTGTGAGGGGGTGTACCAGGCCCCATAAAAAGGAGTGGTGAAGGTGGGTCCTCCAAGCTGCCTAGAAAGGCTGCACGGAAGCAGCCAATCAGAGCACAGCAGGCTCAGTTAAAAGGAACTGCTGGGCCTGAGCGGGTCAGTTCCTGGCAGGGACCAGAGGAGTAAGTAACTTCAGCCCTGAGATAAGGGTGAAGAGGTAGGGACTACATGAGAAGCAGCCCAGGGAACAACAGCAGTTGTCAACAGAATTATTGTTTTGTGGTGGAGATGAAGGTTCTAGTCAGTGCTGCAATCTGGTGTCAGTTCCAAGCATCAGGAAGCAGTGTGGCATCTCAAACACTGCTGTGTACTGACTGGGGTAAATGCTGATTTTGTAATGGTGACCACTGGCAAGGAGCTTTAGATAATTTCTATATTCAGAATCCCCTTGTTATTCTATTGTTATGTTAAGAGATATAAACCTTGTAGGGGTTCTGGTTTCCTTCCTTCCCTACTGAGCCAGTCCCTGCCCAGTGACAGATCCATCCCCCTAGACTAGGTGTGAAGTCATATTTATCCTTTTGGATTGGAAGGGGCAGGGTTAATGAAGCCATTTCCCCTTGGGATCCCGGGAATTGGGAGAGTTTGAGAGTCTAGGATGGAAACCATAGATGGGTCAGCTAGGGGAGCATTGCTCTCGGTAAGGGCTCTGGCCAGGTCTCTAGTGTCTTGCTCTGCTGGGGATTTCCTACTCCTGCGGCAGAGTCAGCTGCTGGCTGGCCTCATGGGAAGGTTCCCCTAGGCAGAGGGCTGAACCCATCCCGATGACCCCACAGCTCCCAGCAGCTGGCATATGAAGAGGAACCTGCTGGCAAAAAGGGAGGGCCAGGAAACTGCCTGTGACACAGAAGGGGATGGGAAATTAAGGGGCGGGGGGAGAAACAGTTTTTACATCTTTAAACTGTCTCTGCCATCCCTTTATTTATCCACCAGTCTCTATCCCTCCTTTAGAGGCAAATCTGTCCCTCTCTGTCCCTGCATCCCACACTGACAGGTTTTTCTTGATTTCAGATAAAAGGAGCAATGCCTCCCACGTTGTTTTCGTCATCCGGATGGTTCTCGGGGCCCTTGTTATAATCTCGGCGGTGATGATTGTTGCAGAGTGCGTGATTTCAGAGAAGAGGGGTGAGTGAAATGTCTTCAGTGCAGTCCCTGTGCAGAATCAGCCACAGAGCTTGAGTTACACGCGAGGTCCTTCTGCCTTTTCCTTCTGGGCAACTTCCCAGTCCCAGTGCGTTGAAATCGAAAAGCTGTTTCAGACCCGGCTGGGACTGTTTCCTTGGCCTGTCTGTTCTGGTTTCTGTCTAACCAGAAATCCGGGTATCTCAGAACTAGAAGCACAGAGTTTAGGTCTCCATCTTGTAAATGTTCCTGAAGGCCTTTACCTCTCAGGTCTCCCTTTCACAGCACCGATGATCTTTTCCTGTTGCTGCGTCTGTCCAACGTGCCCTGTTTATTTCTGGCTGGCTGGCACGCACGGAGCTAATGCAACCACTTGGACAAGTGTGCTGCACGTACTGCAGGAGTATTCTTTAGGTTCTAACTTACTGAGTCTGATTTTTCCCCACAGCTGGTGTCAATCGGACAATATGAGGATTAGCTGTTATAGCGTACCCTTGGAGATGGAGCTCTCAGACACCTGTTACCCAGGCATTCCCCCAAACACCGTGTTGACCAACCAGCCTGTCAGATTCTGCACCTGCAAATAAACCTTGAACAGAAGGGAGGGGATGCTGGATAATTGGAAAGGGAGTTTGTGATGTTGCAGTCTATATGGTTTTATAAAAATATGCTAATGAGTGAATATAATGTAACTGGAATATTTGCTTCATGCAAGAGGTCTCTTGTAAGGAATCATTACAAAGCTTCTAATCTACTGAGTGTGTTCATCCTATTTGTATAAATGTACCACTCTTGTATCTGAAACTAGAAATATGAAATATAACTCTGAGGGCCTATTGTAATTATGCAAAGTGTGGGCCATTAATGGTGGTTTGGAATCTTGATGACTCCCATTAAGCAGGACAATTGTCTGCAGATGGCTGTGTTTACCTGTTAGTCTTCCTGTATGTGTGTGTGCTGGCAAGTGGGCAATGAAGTCTTGCAGTGACATGTGATCATGTCACCAGAACTGGAATCCATCTTTAACCTGGTGTCTTTCCATTGAGAAGGAGGGGGTGGGAACCCAGAGAGGGACAAAGGATTCCCGCCTTATGCGAAAGATATATAAAGGGGTGGAACAGAACAAAGTGACATGTTCCATCATGTTCTAGCTACCACCTGAGCTGGAACAAGAGCTGTACCAGGGGAAAGAATTGTGCCCAGGCCTGGAAGGTGTCCAGTCTGAGGAGAAAACTTACTGATGCATCTCTGAGGGTGAGATTATCTGTATTCAGTTTGATTAGACAGATTTGCGCATTTTATTTTATTTTGCTTGGTGACTTACTTTGTTCTGTCTGTTACTACTTGGAACCACTTAAAACCTACTTTGTTTAATAAAATCACTTTTTACTTATTAATTAACTCAGTATGTATTAATACCTGGGGGAGCAAACAGCTGTGCATATCTCTCTATCAGTATTCTAGAGGGCGAACAATTTATGAGTTTACCCTGTATAAGCTTTATACAGGGTATAACAGATTTATTTGGGTTTAGACCCCATTGGGAGTTGGGCATCTGAGTGTTAGACAGGAACACTTCTGTTAGCTGCATTCAGTGAAGCCTGCAGCTTTGGGGCAAGTAATTCAGACCCTGGGTCTTTGTTGGAGAAGACGGGTGTGTCTGGCTCAGCAAGACAGGGTGCTGGGGCCCCAAGCTGGCAGGGAAAGCAGGGGTAGAAGTAGTCTTGGCACATCGGGTGGCAGCTCCCAAGGGGGTTTCTGTGATCTAACCCGTCAGAGTTCACGGGTGTTCAGAATAAAGACTCCTCTGACACCCCTCTTTGAGGCAGCAGAACCTGATGATCGCTAATGACTTAGGCAGTCTCAGTGCCATCTGAGCCATAGGAAAATGAGACGAACTTTTCTGTCACCTAAAGATTCCCCATTGTGCTACCTAGCAATCACTTTAGAGCAAGTGAGGGCAAACTATGGTCTCTGGGCCAGATTCGGCCCTTCAGGGCTTTCGTTCCAGCCTGCGGGATTGCCAGCCCCATGGCACAGCAGGGCTAAGGCAGGAACCCTACCTGCCCTGGCCCTGCACCGCTCCTGGAAGCAGCCGGCACCACTTCGCTGCGGCCCATGAGGGACGGGGAGGTAGAGGGCTCCGTGTGCTGTCCTCACCTGCAGGCACCACCCCCTTGCAGCTCCCATTGGCCGGGTATGGGGAACCACGGCCAATGGGAGCTTTCTGGGTGGTACCCACAGGTGAGGGCAGCACGCAGCAGAGTTGCCTGCCCCACCCCACCCCCAGGAGCCACTGCTGGATATGCTGACCACTTCTGGGAGCAGCACGGGGCCAGGGCAGGCAGGGAGCCTGCCCTAGCCCCGCTGTGGGCTGCTGCCACACTGGAGCCACTTGAGGTAAGTGGCACCGGGCCAGAGCCTGCACCCTGAACCCCTCCTCCACCCCACCCCCCTGCCTTGAGCCCCCCTGCCACACCCCAACCCCCTGCCTTGAGCCCCCCTCGCTACACCCCAACCCCCTCGCCCTGAGCCCTCTCCTGCACTCTGCACCCCCCATCCACCCCAACTCCCCTGCCTTGAGCCTCCTGCTGCACCCTGCACTCCAAACCCTGGCCCTGAGCCCCTTCCTTCACACTGCACCCCCTCCCATGGCCTGCACTCCCTCCTGCACTCCAATCCCATGCCCCAGCCCTACATTCACGGCCCTGCATACAATTTCCCCACCCAGATGTGGCCCTCGGGCCAAAAAGTTTGCCCACCCCTGCTTTAGAGGCTCATGGAACCCTTGAAGTGAAGATTCTCAGAACAAGGGCCAAAAACTCTTCCCTAAAATTGGTTCAGCTGATTGTCAGTCAAAGAGGAAATGGAAACGTCTGCTGGGCATTGATTGAAGTAAATTTCCCACCTTCTAATTGAGTTGAATCTCCTCTTGTTCTCATGTTGCATGACAGGGAGAATAGAAGTTTCCAATTGACCTTCTCTAGAATGGATAGAATTTTACATGTCCCCTCCTATTCAATCACCTTTCTAAGGTTTGTTTTTTCAATCTCTCTTCCTAGTAGAGTTTTTCCAGTTACCTTGATCTCCCTCACCACTGTTCTCTGAACCCCACAATATCCTTTCCTTATTCCAAATGAGGCTGCACCATGGATGTATATAAAAGCATTATAATTTATTTATTTTTGCATTATTCACCATCCCATTCTTTCTGCATCCTAACCAGAAAGATTTCTGCTGGGTCAGTGTTTGACCAGCGGCATGTGGCTTCACAGATGACAGGTCCCATGGCACAAGGATTGTATTAACTTGTACTCTGTACAAATATGGGGCCAGATTCTGCTCCCATTAATCTCAAACCCTCCCCTACCCAGACCAAAAAAAATCTCAAACCCCTCACTCTGACCAGGTCCCTGTGTATTTCCTGCTTCTATATTCAGACTCCAGCCCCTGCCCTCGCCTTGCTGCAGAACTGTGCTCCAGCCTCTACATTTCCACTAAAAAAGCATCACACCATCCTCCCATGACTGAAGCAGCTGATGGATTTCCAACCTGCTACGCCTGAGCACTGCAGAATCCAGGGACCCTCTCACAGCATTTAGATGCATCCAGCCATGGGGAACAAGGGTCCTGGGTTAGCCTGAGGCTGCTTATCACTTGAGCCTGTAACCAGCTATTTTCCTCCCTTCCCAAGTTTGACCCCCTGCATTCCAGGGGCATTGCTCACCTACCCACGGGGGTGCGGCGCTGTTCTTGTTAAACAGAGCCAACTCTTTCCTTTACGGGTCAGGCAGCGAATATGCACAAATTAGTGTGTCTGAGGGGGACCCGCTTTCTGTCTGGGCACCTGTAACTTATCGCATGGGCGCGGCGGCATGCGGCTCGCTTCAGGGGATCTGGGATCAGAATTGCAGATTTCATACTGCTGCGGCCAGCTCCTTCTGGAGAGTGCAGGCAGCACGTCAGCACTGGGTACAGAGAGGCCAAACCCAGAACCAGCCCATCCAGCCCCAGCCCCCAGGAGCTTTGGGTGGGCAGATAACATGGGACGAAGAGCCCAGCCAACGCTGAGTTTACAGAACAGACATTAAATGGATGAGACTTTCGAAAACCTCAACTAGGTCTGTGCATCATTTTGCTCTTCTTTAGCATTAAAATCACCCCCTCCACTGTACTTGTGAGTGGTCTGTATTGGAAGTGTCATCTGTACTGTCTTGGGGTCTATTTCCCCACACGCCCTGGGACACAAGTTGAATGGGGGTTACTCGTAACGTGGGGAGAGAGAATCAGGGCCCTGCACAGGGATGGCCTGATCCCATTACACTTTGGGAAGCTGGGTTCATGCAGGATCCCACCGAGAAGAAAGGAAGCTTTAGAAGTTGAGCAGCAAAAGTTTTTGCTCTGCCCCATGATTTGGATTCAGTTTTTCACAGCCCTGCAGAGAAACTGGAAGTGGGCACAGGATGCTGTAAAAGGCAACAGGAAACCAAGATGCAGAAGACAGAATCAGCCTGTAAAAATACCCCAAAGAGAAGAATTAGCAAGACACAGCACTGATGGGGAAGTGAGGAGAGAGAGGGGGATTCAGTCTGCGGTTACTTTACTCCCAAGAACAACATCTGCACAGTCACAGTTTGGGCAACTGCACCTAGCCCTCAGTGGCCCAGCAAGGGCACCTGTTCACAGGCTGCCAGCTCCCCAGCTGTCACCTCTTGGGTGGAGACTGCAGCCCTCTCCCCTCTGACCAGGGTATTTCCAGGCTGTGCAATTTCCTGCCTTCACTATATTTCCCAGCACAGACAGGCTGTCCAAGGAGACCTACTTGCCTCCTTTCAGAGGACATTAATAGGTGTAATTGCTACAATTATAAGGTACCATGCAGCACTGCCTGTGAGAGACACCCTGCACCCCATGTTCACTGCTTTTATAGTATTAGGATATATTTTGTACAAAGTATGCCCTGTGAGGTATCGGTTGAAAAACTCATAATCTGCTTAGCATCATTGACCCGTTCAAATGTGTGTATCAACATTGTATATGGCGTTATACAAATTTTGCTATGTTTGTTAGTGGAACATGTTGTAATTCTTGGGAATGCCCACAGACTAGCTCTCCAGTGTCAACCAAAGACTGACCACAGGTGCTAGAAAACCATTATCAATTATTTCTTCAGCTTCAACCTAGTTCTTCTCTCTCCCCTTTCACCTCTGTCCCTTTATTCATCCAGTCTCTCTACCCCAACTCTTCCATGGGGAAAACCCAGTTGTGCGTTTGGAAGGACTGACTGCTACCAGAGCCCAAGACTGAAGTTGGGATCACTTCTGGTAAACTTCTTAACATGGGCATCAGTTCCTTTAGTGTTGTTAATGCTTTCCCCTTAGGAATCTAGGTGCTTGCTTAGAAAGAGCTGTTTGGTAACTTGTAATTGTGGGCAATACACTGGGCAGAGCCTAGTGAGGGAAAGGCGGCTGGGTTGTGGAGAATGTCAAAGTGTAAATCAGGGGGCTCTGCAGTCTTAACATGCCAGTCAAGGGGGAGTGTGTGTGAGGGGAAGACAGTCTCCCCAACAGCGGTGATGGCTGGGAGCTGGGAGCCTAAAGCAGGTGGACCAGGGAAGGGGAATACTGACACAGTTACCCTGGCATGTTCTCCTTGTGCTTTGCACAAACACAGAACCAGATCCTGCATCTTCAAGGTTACTATGGTTACGACCGGGGCTCTGTTTCTTGGCTCAGAGCCAAGTGTGGGGGTTCAGGGTGCTGTTTAGGGGCCTGTGATATACAGGAGGTCAGATTAGATGATCTGTGGTCCCTTCTGGCCTTCAACTCTAGGACTACAGCTCTAAATATGACAATAC